GCATCAAACTCTGCACCTGCCTTACAGCGTATGCGGCTTCGTTAAAAAAGAGAGAGCGAAAAAGCGGAAAAAAGCGGACAGTCGCTTCATACGAGTTATCTTAAAATGTCAAAAAGTTATTGGCATATATAATTATTTCGTGGACCGGTGCCATTAATCTCAAACACTTAAGGTATTTTTTCATAGCTTATTAAGACAGAAAAAGCTTTCTGAAATGTTTTCTTCCTTGATCTTTAGTACTCAGTATATTGCAATGTTGAATGAAAGCACAGTAATGTTTCATGATAAAAAAAGATCTGAATAATTTCATCTCCATGAACATATGATCTTAAGATCACGACGGATCAATTTTTATTCCTTCTCTAGCCGCCGATCATATATCTATTTTCCTTTCCTCGCAAAAGAATATTTAATATTTAATATTTATTTATTTAATCTTCTGTTCCTGGAAAATATAAATGTGGGTGCGTGTGCGTTGGTTTACGAGAGTCAGGCACATGTTACATTGCCATTAAGTTCTGGAAATGGTTGGCAAGAATAGAATATGCTTTTTATTCATATTTTTTTATCATCTTTCAGAGTCTATCTTAAAAAAGTACTGTTAATTACTTTTACAATACTGAAAATTCAACCATAATTTATATCAAAACTGATATGTATTTGAATAGGTTTCGAGTGGGGCAATGTATATATATATATATATATATATATATATATATATATATATATATGTATCTGTATATATAACTATATATGTACATATATATAAATAACATATTTATATATACATATATACACGCACATGTATATAAGTAAGATAAACATATACATACATGCATAAACACATACATACATACATACATACATATATATATATATATATATATATATATATATATATATATATATATATATGAATTGCGGTTTAGAGTCAGACTATTCACGCCATTGATGTTTAACTTAGACTGTGGCTGTACAAGGGGATGATACAAAGTTGGTTTCCCGCTGAAGCTTTTGTTACAGGCGTCGTGTAGGGATCTTACTAGATAGTATCCAGTTTAGAGGGTTTTGAGGCTCGGCATGGCCGGATATAGTGCAACGCTTTATATATATACACACAAACATATATAATGAAACAAATTCTTTTTATGACACACACATACACAAACACCCATATACCTACATATACAAATATGTGTTTGTGTATTTTTGGTATACATACATACCGACACACACACATGTGTGTGTGTTTGTATTTGTATGTGTTTGGTATATATATAATGTATATAATATATAATAAACACATGTATATTGTACATATATATGCACATATATACTTGATTGTAAATATATGTAGATAGATAGTGTGACACACACACACACACACACACATATATATATAGAGAGAAAGGAAGTTCAAATGCCTGAAGTAATAAAAACACATGCAGTTCCAGATAACAATCGACTACATACGTATTTCCCCAGTGTTCATTTTCATGAATGAAACTCCCTATAGTCGCAACCCACAATTGAAATAAGGTTAAGGTTAATGCATATATATTCAAGATTCACTATTTCGTTGCATAACATAGAATAACTTTTTCATAACAGGTTAATATTACACGGTAAACGCGATCTTTTAAATACCAAATATATCTAATCTACCTTCGAGAAAATATTTTCAAATTCGGGTTAACTATGTAATCATTCTTGAGGTTTGCTTTTTAAATGATCATGTTATCTCGATTAAGAAAAAAAAAAAAAAATAGCGTCGGTAAGAGAAAAACGTATTTTTGTTTAAAATATTATATCAGTTATCGAATAAATACATCATTTGCATTGGTATTTAGTTGGGTCGGCCATACAGTCTGGAAGGAGCGGAAACTTCATCGGAGTCGTCGCTGCGATTGCGGTCCTCCTCAGCGGCCTTTGCGATCTGGTCGAGGACGAACTGGGGGATAGGGTGGGGGAACTCGGGAGCCACTGGGAGGTGGGCGCCTTGGGGCTGGAAGCCGTTCTCGTCAGCCACGAACTGGAGATGGATTTCAGTGCCATCAGGAGCAGTGTACCTGTAGGAATTGTACATTTACATTGTAATCAGGTAGCAAAACAGAAAATATGAAGCACGAAAGTATCCAATGTCAATATTACTGAAAATTTGATAGAAAAACGAGTACTCACGAGTATTCTCCAGCCTTGATCACAGCGTCATCATCACCGTCGGGGGATCCAGCCTGAGAGAAGCTGATGCCGTTGGCAGCTTCGAAGTCGAAGTTGTAAGTTCCATCTTCCTCATGGACGCGGTCGTCCTTGAGGATTGGCACGAAGTCGCGCTCCTCACTGGACGCAGCACGAGGAGCATCGTAGCTGTACTGAGGGGCGGCGACGGCCACGGCGGCCAAACAGGCGATGATCAGCTGCAAAATGGATCGATAGTATAATGACTGCTGTAGATCATATCAACAGCTGAAAATATAGTAAATCTAACTAAACCACTGTCTTTGTCTTCTATACTTTTTGTATATAAATGTGCGGAGTATCGAAATTCCGTCCCATAAAGACTTTTATTTGTATTGAATACTCTAGATACGACGCAACAGCTCGAACAAACAAGGCCAAACAAACTGTAAATAAAAAAAAACATTGCATCTATAATGCAAGATGATCTCGTTTTTATTATTGAATTTTGTTGAGATGCTAAAATGAATTCTCGGAATACTACTCATTTCACGTACGAACTTCATGTTGACTGAGTACGAGTAGACTGGAACTAGTGCAGTGCTCCTGGATGCCTGCTCTTTTATACCATCGTAAGAGCAAGCAAACACTTGGTGACCTTGGCCGTGATGTTTCTTGTAGCCTTTCAATGTAACCGGCGTCGCCATAAAATAGAAATTTCGAAAGTAGAAAATACACAAACCCACACTTCGTTAGATTTGTTATCAAGTTATTTTTTTCTTGCACTTTTATGCATTATTTATAAATTAACGTAATCCTCTGGGTCCTTGTAATGAGAGGTGCCGCGTAGGAAAAATATTTATTACAGTGTATACACGCATTATTTCTTATTCTGATATGAGTGCGATATTGCCGTATTTTTTTATTACCAACCTTTCATATACGATATGTTCGAGTGTTAATAGCATCTGTTGGAACTCATGTTTTATTAAAGAATATTGCATTAATTCGTGTTATTGTTCTATTACTAATGCTAATATTCACCACTATCAACACCTCCCCACCGTCATCATACTCATCACCATTGCTGTCATTATCATTATCATCACCATGGCTGTCACCATCCTCATTATCATCCTCGCCACTGCTAACACCATCATTATCTTTACCATTGCCATCACCATCATCGTCTGCATCTTGATCCTCATATTTTTTGTGACAACAAATAATGTAAGATGATACACAACCAACGAAAAAGAAAAACATAAAAACATTTCACTGTGTAAAAAGTGAAATACCCGGCATACCCGGACTCTCAGTGTGGTATAACATTCGAGTACAAATAAAAAGATTTTGAGTTTGACTATTGTAAACATTTATTATGACACCAGTAGGTTTGTTCATTCTGAATATGTGGAGTATTCAGTTACACTATTCACAGTAGCGTCTGTGCATATATCAATACCTAAATGGAATATATCATGTTAGACTGATTTTTTGTTAACCGAATGCCTCTTAAACATGGCTCATACACACACACAGATATGTAACCTTACATATCTGTATACAAATGTATATATATTTATATATAGAGACACATTGATGCGTATATATATACATATATATATAAATACATGTATGTATAAAGATAGATACACAGAAATACGTAGCCACTCATGTATATCTAATTTATCTACCCGTCTGTACAGAAAGTGTGTTTGCTAATGTCTTTTCGTAATATCCATAGTAACTAATCGTTACTATGGATGTATAACTCACTATTATTACGACAAAGGCGTTGGTATTATGAAAACATTTTTGTTAGATAAGTCTTTTAATTAGAGAAATAATAAATACATATTTCGCATCCAAATTAGTTGGGTCGGCCGTAGAGTCTGGAAGGAGCAGAAACTTCGTCGGAGTTATCGCTGCGGGCACGGTTGCGGTCCTCCTCGGCGGCGAAGGCGATCTGGTCGAGGACAAACTGAGGGATCGGGTGGGGGAACGCGGGAGCCACTGGAAGGTGGGCACCCTGGGGCTGGAAGCCATTCTCGTCAGCCACGAAGCGAACATGGATTTCACTGCCATCAGGAGCAGTGTACCTGTATCATTAGCGAAGTTAGAATATTTGAATAAAATACGGTAGAAAGACAAAATATATCTATATGTTTTAATGTATGAAAGACACTATAAAACTCACGAGTATTCTCCGGCCTTGATCACAGCGTCCTCATCACCGTCGGGGGATCCAGCCTGAGAGAAGCTGATGCCGTTGGCAGCTTCGAAGTCGAAGTTGTAAGTTCCATCTTCCTCGTGGACGCGGTCGTCCTTGAGGATTGGCACGAAGTCGCGCTCCTCACTGGACGCAGCACGAGGAGCATCATAGCTGTACTGAGGGGCGGCGACGGCCACGGCGGCCAAACAGGCGATGATGATCAGCTGTAAATGGATCGATAGTATAATGACTGTCCCTGTTAACTTTTCGCAGATTTTTATCTAATCTAAATACAGAAAAAAAATCTAACGAGATGAAGACCTACTACACTGCTTATTCTAACAGTACTAAAAAATTGTACCTTCAGGAGCTATGTTACTATCATATAAATCCAAGAGAGATTTACAATACTTCCTTTTCTATGTACAATTTCAAATCACATAGATTAGGCTGTCTCAATCGTCTTCGTACGAATATTACACGTTTAACTTACGAACTTCATGTTGGATGATTAAACTGAAACTAGTGTAGTGCTTCTGGCGGACTGCTCTTTTATACCACTGTCGCATCAAACAAGCTGTGAATAACCTTGGCCGTGACATTCCCTGCACCTGCCTTTCAGCGTAACCGGCTTCGTAGAAAAAGAAAGTGAACGAAAAGATGAAAAAGAGGAAAGTCGCTTCATACGATTTACCTTAATATGTCAGATCATTATTGACATGTATAACTATTTCGAAGATCGTTTTACAATTCTCAAACACACAAGTTTAATAAGATCTTAGCTGGAGTTTACTTTACCACATATGAGAATAATTTCGGCGTTTTTTCATATTTTATTTCTACAACAAAAATATTCTTAGAGATTTTCTTATCTGATCTTCAGTACTCATTGTTTTGCAGTGTTGACTGAAAATCATTGTAAGGTTTCGTGAATATGAAAAAACGTATAATTTCATATGATCTTTTAATCACGACGGATCAACTTTTATTTTCTCTAGCTACCGGTCATACATATTTCAGTATTTATTTTCCTTTCCTCGCAAACAATTGGTTACGTTTAATTTTAAATGCATCTCCTACCCCTGAAAATATTAAATGTGGGTACATGTATGTTGGTTTACGATTGTCAGGTAAATGTTACATAGCCATTAAGTATTCGAAATGGTTTGGCATGAATAGAATATGCTCATATTTTTTATATCATCTTCCAGAGTCTATCTTAAGAAAAATAAAAGTACTGTTAATTACTTTTATATTTCTAAAAATCCAACCGTAATTGAATATTATATTTAATATGTATTTAAACTTATGAATGGGACACTGCATATGTATATGTACCTGTATATAAGTACATATACATATACATATATTTATATACACACATTGCACACACACATACGCACATACTGAATTGTCGTATTAGAGTCAGGCTCTATTCACGTACTAGGGATAATACGTGGTTTCCCGTTGAAGATTTTGTTATAGGCATCGTAGTTCATCCATAGCCTATGCTGCTTTGGTACCATATATCACCAATGCCCATCGCTCCTGCGTAAAGAACCTTACTCACCCTAGGTTTTGTGGGCATGGCCGGATATAGTTTAACGCTACAAATGTATACAGAGATATATGAAAACATATTCTGTTCATGACAAACACACACGCACACACACAACCACACATACACCCAAGCATGCTCACACGCACACAAGCATGCACACACACACACAAACATACTCAGACACACAAGTATGCTCACACAAACACACACATATAGATACATATAACCATGCAAATACAAATGAGTGTGTATTTGTGTATGTCTGATATATATGTATATACATAATATATATACGCATACATGTATGTATGTATGCACAGTTATATATACATATGTATATGTATATATATGTATATTATATATATATTATGTATATACCAAACACATAGGTATATATATACTCGGAAATATGAGCATATATACTCGTAAATATATATACACACATATTTAAACACATGTGTTTGTGTGTGCGTGTGCTTGTGTGCGTGTGCTTAGTATATATATAATATATGTATAATTATATACATATGTATAACACACACAATATATACATATATATAACACACAATATATACATATATATAACACACATAATATATACATACACACACACACACGTATTTGCTTGTAAATATATGAACAAATACGTGTGTGTTTGTGTGCTTGTGCTTGGTATATATGTATATAAAAATGTATGTATATTATATATTTTTAAATACTTAATACATCTAATATAGCTTCCGGTATGCATTTTCAAATTCAGGTTAATTATCTACAACAGTTTCAGCATTTTTTTGTGAAACTTTTAGACCAGGCACTGTTTATCAACATCCATTTGATTATCAGTGAAATAATTCTTGAAGTTTGATTTGAAATTATCATGTTATCTCGACGAAGAGAAATAGCGTTGGCGAAAGAAAAACGTATCTTTGTATAAAATGTTATATCAGTTATCGAATAAATACATCATTTGTATTGGTATTTAGTTGGGTCGGCCATACAGTCTGGAAGGAGCGGAAACTTCGTCGGAGTCGTCGCTGCGGTTGCGGTCCTCCTCGGCGGCCTTAGCGATCTGGTCGAGGACGAACTGAGGGATTGGGTGGGGGAACTCGGGAGCCACTGGGAGGTGGGCGCCTTGGGGCTGGAAGCCGTTCTCGTCAGCCACAAAGCGGAGATGGATTTCAGTGCCATCAGGAGCAGTGTACCTGTAGGAATTGTACGTTTACAGTGTAATCAGGTAGTAAAAGAGAAATCAATATGAAGCACGAAAGTATCCAATGTTAACATTACTGAAGATTTGATAGAAGAACGAGTACTCACGAGTATTCTCCAGCCTTGATCACAGCGTCATCATCACCGTCGGGGGATCCAGCCTGGGAGAAGCTGATGCCGTTGGCAGCTTCGAAGTCGAAGTTGTAAGTTCCATCTTCCTCGTGGACGCGGTTGTCCTTGAGGATTGGCACGAAGTCGCGCTCCTCACTGGATGCAGCACGAGGAGCATCATAGCTGTACTGAGGGGCGGCTACGGCCACGGCGGCGACACAGGCGAGGATCAGCTGTAGATCAGATTAACAGTCAAAAATCTAGTAACTAGCTAAACAGCTGTCGTTGTCATGTATACATTTTATTAATAAATGTGCGGTATATCGAAATTACATCTCGTAAATACTGCAAACATGCATATTGATAATCATAATTTTTCATTGGGCAATGCCGTACAGCAGATAAAGCCTCACAGTAGAACTTCGAATAGATTATTTGATCTCGTTTATCATTAATTTTGTTTGGATGCTAAAATTCATTCTCGGAATACTACTCATTTCACTTACGAACTTCATGTTGAGTGAGTACGAGTAGACTGGAACTAGTGCAGTGCTCTTAGCTGCCTGCCCTTTTATACCATCGTAGGAGCAAGCAAACACTGGGTGACCATGGCCGTGATGTTTTTGTAGCCTTTCGGCGTAACCGGCGTCGTCATAAAAAAAAAAAAAAAAAACACACAACGTCTTTTGACATTTTTTTCTTAGACAGTTTGTATGTAGTATTCACATATTAACGTAATCCTCTCAAATAGTAATGGATTAACAGAGGCAGACATATCTATGTATCAATATTTCTATATATATCGCTCTCTTTCTGTCTATCTATATACATGTGTGTGTCTATTTATTTATATATTTATTTATATGTTGAGAAAGAACGGGAAAAAAATTGAAATTGTGGATCTATTGATATAGCAATGCCAGGTTTGATCTATTAAAGTGCATTCTTGTGAGAAGAAGTGGTGCGTAAGAAAAAAAATGTTAATTGGTATTTCTTACTCTGAATTGAAAACGATATTGTCGCATTTCCTTATTAATATATCTTATCTTATTAAGCTTTCATATACAAAAGAATTAATTACTAATATTATTTGTTAGAATTCGTGATTGGTTCAAAAATATTGTATAAAATTGTATTATTAATGATAATCTTCACCACTACCTTATCACCTCCTTATCATCATCACCAGTTATCATCCTTATCATTATCACCATCACCGTCTGTATCCTAGCCATCATATACTTTTGTGACAACAAATCATGTAAAATCACGAAACAAAACATGAAAGATATTTCACTTCGTTAAAACATCTTTATCCAGGGCATGTAAGGGAGTAACACGTAGCTCCAAGGCCTAAGTATGCACACTTTTTGTACAAAATTATATGTATATATATATTTTAATGAACGTTGCATGTTAGGCATAACCGTATTCTCAGTGTGGTATAACATTCGAGTACAACTAAAAAGATTTTGAGTTTGACTTTTGTAAACATTTAATAGGACATCGGTGAGTCTGTTTATTCTGAATGTGTTGATTAAATTCACAGTAGCGTCTGTTCATATTTGATTACAGAAATAGTTACATTGTGTTAGACTGCTGATAGCCTATTAAACATGACTGGCTTGTATATATATACACATATATATACATACACGTATATACACATGTATGTATACATATTTATATAAACATACTCAAATATGTGTATGTATATATATTCATACACATACATACATATATATATATATATATATATACACATGTATACATATATTTGCATGTATATTTAGATATTTATACATATTTGTATATATAATCATATTCATACGTATGTATATATCTATATATGTATATATACACATATTTGTATACATGTATATATATAGATATGCATACAAGTACGTAGAGACTCATGTATATCTGTCTATATATTTTATCTATTCGTCTATACACACAGTGTATGTTGATGTCTTTTCGTAATATCCAAAGGTACTCATAGGTATTATGAAAACATTATTGTAAGATAAGTCTTTTAATCAGAGTAAAAATAAATACATATTTCGCATCCAAATTAGTTGGGTCGGCCGTAGAGCCGGGAAGGAGCAGAAACTTCGTCGGATTCGTCGCTGCGGTTGCGGTCCTCCTCGGCAGCCTTTGCGATCTGGTCGAGGACGAACTGAGGGATTGGGTGGGGGAACGCGGGAGCCACTGGGAGATGGTCACCCTGAGGCTGGAAGCCGTTCTCGTCAGCCACAAAGCGGAGATGGATTTCAGTGCCGTCAGGAGCAGTGTACCTGTATAAGAGTTACAGTGTATTCTGACAGTAATACGATATAAGCATAAAACTGCTCAAATGTATTGATGTATGAAATAGTTGGAAGAAGAACGTATACTCACGAGTATTCTCCGGCCTTGATAACAGCGTCTTCGTCGCCGTCGGGGGATCCAGCCTGAGAGAAGCTGATGCCGTTGGCAGCTTCGAAGTCAAAGTTGTAAGTTCCATCTTCCTCATGGACGCGGTCGTCCTTGAGGATTGGCACGAACTCGACCTCCTCGCTGGACGCAGCACGAGGAGCGCCATAGCTATACTGAGGAGCGGCGACGGCCACGGCGGCGACACAGGCGAGGATCAGCTGTCAACAAATTGTATTTTAATTTGGTGAAAAGACTTATCTGGTTAACTTTTATACTGCTGGAGAAATTAAATACAGAAGTATCGTATCAAAATTTTCGAATGCTACTTGTTTCACTTACGAACTTCATGTTGAGTGATTAGGCTGGAACTAGTGTAGTTCTTCCAGCTGCCTGCCCTTTTATACTACCAAAGCGTCAGGCAAGCTCTAAATGACCTTGGCCGTGACGTTTATTGTAGATACCTCTCTGCGGCTGGAAAGGAGGACATTTTTTTTACACACATAGACATATGTAACACATGTTTATCTATGCCTTTCTTTCAATTACTTCATGTGTATGCATATATACTCTCTGTACATTGTCTTATACTTACTGAACATATATACATACATATCTATATGATATATATATATATATATATATATATATATATATATTTATATGCAGACAAAAGTGGAAGATATACTCGGGAGCATCAAAAAGAAGAAATGGCAATGGGCAGGTTATATAGGACGACAGAAAGTAACAGATTGCGTTATAGATTGGATTGATTCAGGCTGAGGATGATATATTTATACATATACATATACATGCAAACAAATAGACATAGATAAAGACATGTACATATATAAACATATATATACATACATATATATATGTATATGCATACGTACATACAATATGTATATATACACACATACATACTGTATATATATACACATATATGTATGCACACACACTCATGTATATATGTGTGTATGCATATATTTGTATATCTGTATAAAGATTTGCACACACACACACACACACATATCAATATATAAATATACATCGATAACTATATTTATATATTACATATGTATATATATATATATGTTTGCATATGTATAGGTATATATATCTATATGATGTGTATGTATGTGTTTGTGTGTGTATGTGTTTGTGTGTGTGTGTGTGTACTGAATATATACACATATAAACACAAATATATGTATATACATATTATGTAATATATACACATACATATAAGTATATACATAATATACATATATATGAAAATCCGCACACATACATACACACAGTATATTTGCACATTCACGCACTCACAAAAACAAGGGAAGAGGGAGGAGGTAAGGTGGATATAAAGGGGGATCGTGAAGGGAAAATCAATCCACGTTAGTCGTGTCTGATCCACTAACCTCTACAGATCATGACTGCCCACGGGTGTATTACCCAATGTCGTCATTGCCACAGAAGGGAAGATGAACTTTAACTCCTTTGATATAATCTACAGTCGATGAAAGAGTAGTGTGTATCTCTAATTGATGTTAGCAATGACTTTTTTAGTACATTTACGCAAAATCTCATTTCATAATTAGTACAATAAAGGTTTTTACTCAGTAGTTGTTTAATAATTTTCTCTGTGCGATTTATCATCTCTGCTATGTAGATTTTGATGCTCTCCTCATGATTTACCTAGAATGCAATCCTTAAATCAGAGATGATAAATACATCTTTCACATCGATATTAGTAGGTCGGTCTCATAGTCTACGTAGAGCAAAAACTTCATCGGAGTCGTCACTGCGGTTACGGTCCTCCTCAGGGGCGAGGGGCGATCTGGTCGAGGACGAACTGAGGGTTTGGGTGGGAAAACTCTGAATCCACTGGGAGGTGGGCATCCTGAGGCTGGAAGCCGTTCACGTTTGCCACGAAGATAAGGTTGATGCCAGTGCCCCAAGGAGTAGTGTTCCTTTAGAAGTAAAATTAAAAATATCAGACACAGAAATAACCCAAATCAACAGCCATTTATGTATGAAAGATAAGCAGGTACTCACAAATATTCTTCAACTTTGATCACTCGCCGTCAGGGAACCCAGACTGGGAGTAGCTGATGCCGTTGGCAGCTTCGAAGTCGAAGTTGTAAGTTCCATCTTCCTCGTGGACACGGTCGTCCTTGAGGATTGGCACGAACTCGACTTCCTCGCTGGATGTAGCACGAGGAGCGCCATAGCTGTACTGAGGGGCGGCAACGGCCATGGCGGCCACACAGGCAAGGATCAACTGTTAATAAATTGTGTTTATAAGCTTTTAATTCGGTTAAAAGCTAACATTACAGAATGTTTTGCATAATATCCAATAATCAGACGAAATCCTCCAGAGGTTAAGAGTAACAGACATCTGCTTAATCATTCTACTACCAAAGATATTAGAACCGCAAGTATCGTATCAAGACCGGTCCTGAACTACACCAGATAATAAAATATAAGCTCAAACAGTACTTGTTTCATTTACAAAGTTCACGTTGAGCGAACAGACTAGAACTAGTGCAGTGCATCCAGTTGCGGCTTGATCTCGAAGAAAGTTGGGACATTTTCATTACCCACGTGCAAATCTATAGTTATCTTTCAAGCACTTTTCGTATATGCATCTAAACACTCATACATACCTGCAATTACATTACTGTATTGTAGATGTCTTTGCCTTTTTCTTTTTACATACGCACATACATACATATATATATACAGATATATATATACTAAAGACTCACACACAAGAGGAGAGGGACGAGAGGTTGGAAAGAACATTACCACTGAAATGAAGATGAACTTTAAGTCCGTTGATATAAATTGCAGTTAGTGAAAGAGGATTATGTAGATTTGATGTTACTTTGTTATTTTACCTTGAAATACGGTAAGAAAAATCCCTGCTTAGTGCTATAATCGTTAAAAATAAAATTTTAGGTTTAATTTCAATAAACATTTGTTCTAAAAATGTGAACTGCTTAAACAGTTAAATGCATCAAACTATAGTGCCAATTTCCGTTAATTAAAACACGAATAAATGCAGAAATGTGCATATCCTGTTTGAATATTTTCTTTGCGTTGTATCTTCAAGAATACATGTCAGATGTAATGCCTTTTAAATGCACACACACACACACATATACACTATATATACACCCAACTACACATACACATAAATATATATATTTTCATTGTGCTTTTAACAAATTATCGTATATGATTAGTAAGGAAAATATTTATGGATTATTAAAATAACGACTCGATTTGAAATCATTAACGAAACAAAGGTAAGGAGACATTTCTCTATGAAAGATCTTTTAATCAGAGATAATAAATACACATATCGGATCGATTTAGTTGGGTCGGCCATACAGTCTGGAAGGAGCGGAAACTTCGTCGGAGTCGCCGCTGCGGGCGCGTTTGCGGTCCTCCTCAGCGGCGAAGGCGATCTGGTCGAGGACGAACTGAGGGATTGGGTGGGGGAACTCAGGAGCCACTGGCAGGTGAGCGCCCTGAGGCTGGAAGCCGTTCTCGTCAGCCACGAAGCGGACATGGATTTCAGTGCCATCGGGAGCAGTGTACCTGTAACAAGTATAATATATTTAGTATAAGTATTTAGTATTTAGATGGTAAAAGTTGGTTTAAGTATTTAGATGATAAAATTAAAAATATCAGGCACGGGAATTAGCAAAATAAATAAGCATTTATGTGTGAAAGATAAACAGGTACTCACGAGTATTCTCCAGCCTTGATCACAGCGTCCTCATCACCGTCGGGGGATCCAGCCTGCGAGAAGCTGATGCCGTTGGCAGCTTCGAAGTCGAAGTTGTAAGTTCCATCTTCCTCGTGGACACGGTCGTCCTTGAGGATTGGCACGAACTCGACTTCCTCACTGGATGCAGCACGAGGAGCGCCATAGCTGTACTGAGGGGCGGCAACGGCCATGGCGGCCACACAGGCAAGGATCAACTGTTAATAAATTGTGTTTATAAGCTTTTAATTCGGTTAAAAGCTAACATTACAGAATGTTTTGCATGATATCCAATAATCAGACGAAATCCTCCAGAGGTTAAGAGTAACAGACATCTGCTTAATCATTCTACTACCAAAGATATTAGAACCGCAAGTATCGTATCAAGACCGGTCCTGAACTACACCAGATAATAAAATATAAGCTCAAACAGTACTTGTTTCATTTACAAAGTTCACGTTGAGCGAACAGACTAGAACTAGTGCAGTGCATCCAGCTGCGGCTTGATCTCGGGACATTTTCATTACCCACGTGCAAATCTATAGTTATCTTTCAAGCACTTTTCGTATATGCATCTAAACACTCATACATACCTGCAATTACATTACTGTATTGTAGATGTCTTTGCCTTTTTCTTTTTACATACGCACATACATACATATATATATACAGATATATATATACTAAAGACTCACACACAAGAGGAGAGGGACGAGAGGTTGGAAAGAACATTACCACTGAAATGAAGATGAACTTTAAGTCCGTTGATATAAATTGCAGTTAGTGAAAGAGGATTATGTAGATTTGATGTTACTTTGTTATTTTACCTTGAAATACGGTAAGAAAATTCCCTGCTTAGTGCTATAATCGTTAAAAATAAAATTTTAGGTTTAATTTCAATAAACATTTGTTCTAAAAATGTGAACTGCTTAAACTGTTAAATGCATCAAACTATAGTGCCAATTTCCATTAATTAAAACCCGAATAAATGCAGAAATGTGCATATCCTGTTTGAATATTTTCTTTGTGTTGTATCTTCAAGAATACATGTCAGATGTAATGCCTTTTAAATGCACACATATATACAGTATATATATACACCCAACTACACAAACATATTTGCATCTATCTGTTTTTTCATAATGCTTTTAACAACTTATGGTATATTAGTTGGGAAAATATTTATGGATTATTAAAATAACGACTCGATTTTGAAATCATTAACGAAACAAAGGCAAGAAGGAAACATTATTTGTATGAAAGATCTTTTAATCAGAAATAATAAATACACATTTCGGATCGAATTTAGTTGGGTCGGCCATAAAGTCTGGAAGGAGCGGAAACTTCGTCGGAGTCGTCGCTGCGGTTGCGGTCCTCCTCGGCGGCCTTTGCGATCTGGTCGAGGACGAACTGAGGGATTGGGTGGGGGAACTCAGGAGCCACTGGCAGGTGAGCGCCCTGAGGCTGGAAGCCGTTCTCGTCAGCCACGAAGCGGACATGGATTTCAGTGCCATCGGGAGCAGTGTACCTGTAACAAGTATAAAATATTTAGTATGAGTATTTAGTATTTAGATGGTAAAAAATGGTTTAAGTATTTAGATGGTAAAATTGAAAATATCAGGCACGGAAATAAGCAAAATAAATAACCATTTATGTGTGAAAGATAAACAGGTACTCACGAGTATTCTCCAGCCTTGATCACAGCGTCGTCATCACCGTCGGGGGATCCAGCCTGCGAGAAGCTGATGCCGTTGGCAGCTTCGAAGTCGAAGTTGTAAGTTCCATCTTCCTCGTGGACGCGGTCGTCCTTGAGGATTGGCACGAACTCGACTTCCTCGCTGGACGCAGCGCGAGGAGCGCCATAGCTGTACTGAGGGGCGGCGACGGCCACGGCGGCCACACAGGCGAGGATCAACTGTCAATAAATCGTGTTTATGTTTTTAATTCGGTTAAAAGGTAACATTACAGAATGTTTTGTATAACGTCCAATAATCACCAGACGAGATCTTCCAGCGGTTAAGAATTTTAAAAGCTTCTACCTAACCATTCTACTACCAGAGAAATTAGAAACGCGTCTCGTATTGAAATCAGCCTTGAACTACACAAATATTTAAGCTCGAACTCTTGTTTCACTTACGAACTTCATGCTGAGTGATTGGACTGGAACTAGTGCAGCGCTTCCAGCTGCCTGCCCTTTTATACCATCAAAGCGTCGGACAAGCTTCAGATGACCTTGGCCGTGACGTCTGCTGTAGATGGCTTTCTGAGGGTGGATCTGGAAGTTGGGACATTTTTTATACATACATATATGCACATGTTTCGCATGTGTATAGCACTTTATGTATATGCACATGAACTGTGTATATATATATCTATTTGTATAAATATGTATGTGTAACCAATATATATGTATATGTATAGAATCATATACATACATACATGTAAATAGACATACATATATATGTATATACATATATGTATATATATGCATATATAAAATAATAAGTAAAGAAATATAGTATATATACATACATATATACTTACACATATATGTATGTATATATCTAGAAAGAGAAATACACACATGCATACATATGTATATATATACATATAAATATATATTTATACATTGTATGTGTACATATATGTGTGTGCATATATACATACATACATATGTATACATACAGTAAATATACCATACATGCATATACATGTACATATATATACATACATATATACATACACTATATATACATACATACACATATGCACAGTATATATACTATACATACATACATATATATATATATATATATATATATATATATATATGTATATATATATTCATATATATACATGTATATACATATATATACACAATATATATATACATGTAGATATGTATATATATATATATATATATATATATATACAAATACAAGTACATCAGTCTATATACATATAAACAGTATATATATATGTGTGAGTCAATGTGCGTACTATATACGTATGCACATACCAACAAGCATTTAATTACATACATACACACACACAGATATCCATGTACATACTTACACACACACACACATTTATATATATGTATATATATATATACATATACTGTATATATGCATATTCACTGTATATATGTATGTATACATATATATGTATGTGTATATGTGTGCGTACATATATACAATATATTCCAATATATCTATACATATAATAAATAGGAGCGTCCACATCCACACACACACATGCACACACACACACACACACACATGTATATATATATACGTATATATGTAAACACATATATATATGTGTGTGTGCATATATATACATATATATATATATACATACACATATATACACTATATATACATATACATACATATATATCTACAATATATACATTTATATATATACACATGTATATATACAGCATATATATATATATATATATATATATATATATATATATATATATATATACAGCATATATATATATATATATATATATATATATATATATATATGTATATATATATATATATATATATATATATATAAATACATATACATCAGTCTATCTATATACATATACACAGTATATATATGTATGTGTCAATGTGCGTACTATATACGTATGCACATACACACAAGCATTTAAGTACATACATGCACACACACACACACACACTTATGTACATACATACACACACACACGCAAACACATTGATATATGTATATATATACATATACTGTATATATATGCATATACACTGTATATATGTATGCATACATATATATGTTTTTGTTTGTGTGTGTGCGTGCGTACACATATATACAATACATTCCAATATATATATACATTTAAGAAATAGGAGCGTCCACACACACACACACGCGCGCGCGCACACACACACACACACGAGGAGAGGGAGGAGAGAGGTTGGAAAGAAAGGGAAAATAGGCATCCTTTAACCTCTACAAACCATAGCAGACCACTGGTATATTTCCCAACTTCACCATTGCCACGGAAATAAAAATTAACTTTAATCCGTTGATATGATTTGCAGTTGGTGTAAGGGTAATATGTAGCTCTGATGTAAATGTTATTTTGCCTTCAAATACAATCAGAAAAATCACTGTGCTTTAACAGTGATTTTACCGTATCCTCGGCTTGGTGCTATAATCGATGAAAATCAGATTTTAAGTTTAATTTCAATAGACATTTGTTCTGAAAATGTGAACTGTTTAAACTGTTTAAAAAATCAAACTACAATTTCAATTTCCGTTAAGTCAAAATCTGAATAAATGCAGAAATGTGCATATCTTGTTAAGATATTTTCTTTGTGTTGTATTTCCAAGAATGCATGTCAATGTCAAACGTAATGTCTTTTAGATACACATGTATACAGTATATATATACACCCAACTACACAAACATATTTGCATCTGACTATGTGTCTTTTAATAGTGCTTTTAGCAACTTATGGTATATTAGTAGGGAAAATATTTATGGATTATTAAAATAACGACTCGATTTTGAAATCATTAACGAAACAAAGGCAAGAAGGAAACATTTTTTTGTATGAAAGATCTTTTAATCAGAAATAATAAATACACATTTCGGATCGAATTTAGTTGGGTCGGCCATACAGTCTGGAAGGAGCGGAAACTTCGTCGGATTCGTCGCTACGGTTGCGGTCCTCCTCGGCGGCCTTTGCGATCTGGTCGAGGACGAACTGAGGGATTGGGTGGGGGAACTCAGGAGCCACTGGCAGGTGAGCGCCCTGAGGCTGGAAGCCGTTCTCGTCAGCCACGAAGCGGACATGGATTTCAGTACCATCGGGAGCAGTGTACCTGTAACAAGTATAATATATTTAGTATAAGTATTTAGTATTTAGATGGTAAAAGATGGTTTGAGTATTTAGATGGTAAAATTGAAAATATCAGACACGGAAATAAGCAAAATAAATAACCATTTATGTGTGAAAGATAAACAGGTACTCACGAGTATTCTCCAGCCTTGATCACAGCGTCGTCATCACCGTCGGGGGATCCAGCCTGCGAGAAGCTGATGCCGTTGGCAGCCTCGAAGTCGAAGTTGTAAGTTCCATCTTCCTCGTGGACGCGGTCGTCCTTGAGGATTGGCACGAACTCGACTTCCTCGCTGGACGCAGCACGAGGAGCGCCATAGCTGTACTGAGGGGCGGCGACGGCAACGGCGGCCACACAGGCGAGGATCAACTGTCAATAAATTGTGTTTATAAGTTTTTAATTCGGTTAAAAGTTAACATTACAGAATGTTTTGTATAACGTCCAATAATCACCAAACGAAATCTTCCAGCGGTTAAGATTTTTAAAAGCTTCTACCTAACCATTCTACGACCAGAGAAATTAGAAACGCAAGTCTCGTATTAAAATCAGCCTTGTACTTCACAAATATTTAAGCTCGAATTCTTCTTGTTTCACTTACGAACTTCATGCTGAGTGATTGGACTGGAACTAGTGCAGCGCTTCCAGCTGCCTGCCCTTTTATACCATCAAAGCGTCGGACAAGCTTCAGATGACCTTGGCCGTGACGTTTGCTGTAGATGGCTTTCTGCGGGTGGATCTAGAAGTTGGGACATTTTTTATACATACATATATGCACATGTTTCACGTGTGTATAGCACGTTATGTATATGCACATAAACTGTATATATATATCCATTTGTATAAATATGTATGTGTAACCAATATATAAGTATATGTATATAATCATATACATACATACATGTAAATAGACACATATATACGTATATACATATATGTATATATATGCATATATAAAATAATTAAAGAAATATAGTATATATACATATACACACTTACACATATATATGTATGTATATATATAGAAAGAGAGATACATACATGCATACATATGTATATATATACACATAAATATATATTTATACATTGTATGTGTACATATATGTGTGTGCATATATACATACATACATATGTATACATACAGTAAATATACTATATATGCATATACATGTACATATGTATATACATACATAAATAGATATATATACACTATATATACATACATACACATATGCACAGTATATATACTATACATACATACATATATATATATATATATATATATATATATATATATATGTATATATATATTCATATATATACATGTATATGCATATATATACAGCATATATATATATATACATGTAGATATGTATATATATATATATATATACAAATACAAGTACATCAGTCTATCTATATACATATAAACAGTATATATATGTGTGAGTCAATGTGCGTACTATATACGTATGCACATACACACAAGCATTTAATTACATACATACACACACACACAGATATTCATGTACATACATACACACACATACACATTTATATATATGTATATATATATATACATATACTGTATATATGCATATTCACTGTATATATGTATGTATACATATATATGTATATGTGTATATGTGTGCGTACATATATACAATATATTCCAATATATCTATACATATGATAAATAGGAGCGTCCACATCCACACACACACGTATATATATATATATATATATATATATATATATATATATATATATATACGTATATATGTAAACACATATATATATGTGTGTGTGCATATAAATACATATATATATATACATATATATATATACATAGACATATATACACTATATATACATATACATACATATATATATATATATATATACAATATATACATTTATATATATATACACATGTATATATACAGCATATATATATATATATATATATACATATATATATATATATATATATATATATATATATATTTATATATACATATATATATATACAGCATATATATATATATATATATATATATATATATATATATATATATGTATATATATAAATACATGTACATCAGTCTATCTATATACATATACACAGTATATGTATGTATGTGTCAATGTGCGTACTATATACGTATGCACATACACACAAGCATTTAAGTACATACATGCACACACACACACACACACTTATGTACATACATACACACACACACACAAACACATTTATATATGTATATATACACATACTGTATATGTATGCATATACACTGTATATATGTATGCATACATATATATGTTTTTGTTTGTGTGTGTGAGTGCGCACATATATACAATACATTCCAATATATATATACATTTAAGAAATAGGAGCGTCCACACACACACACGCGCGCACACACACACACACACACGAAGAGAGGGAGGAGAGAGGTTGGAGAGAAAGGGAAAATAGGCATCCTTTAACCTCTACAGACCATGACAGACCACTGGTATATTTCCCAACTTCCCCATTGCCATGGAAATAAAGATTAACTTTAATCCGTTGATATGATTTGCAGTTGGTGAAAGGGTAATATGTAGCTCTGATGTAAATGTTATTTTGCCTTCAAATACAATCAGAAAAATCACTGTGCTTTAACAGTGATTTTACCGTATCCTCGGCTTGGTGCTATAATCGATGAAAATCAGATTTTAAGTTTAATTTCAATAGACATTTGTTCTGAAAATGTGAACTGTCTAAACTGTTAAAAAATCAAACTACAATTCCAATTTCCGTTATGTCAAAACCTGAATAAATGCAGAAATGTGCATATCTTGTTAGGATATTTTCTTTGTGTTGTATTTCCAAGAATACATGTCAATGTCAAACGTAATGTCTTTTAGATACACATATATACAGTATATATATACACCCAACTACACAAACATATTTGCATCTGACAATGTGTCTTCATAATGCTTTTAACAACTTATGGTATACTGGTAGGGAAAATATTTATGGATTATTAAAATAACGACTCGATTTTGAAATCATTAACGAAACAAAGGCAAGAAGGAAACATTTTTTTTGTATGAAAGATCTTTTAATCAGAAATAATAAATACACATTTCGGATCGAATTTAGTTGGGTCGGCCATAAAGTCTGGAAGGAGCGGAAACTTCGTCGGATTCGTCGCTGCGGTTGCGGTCCTCCTCGGCGGCCTTTGCGATCTGGTCGAGGACGAACTGAGGGATTGGGTGGGGGAACTCAGGAGCCACTGGCAGGTGAGCGCCCTGAGGCTGGAAGCCGTTCTCGTCAGCCACGAAGCGGACATGGATTTCAGTACCATCGGGAGCAGTGTACCTGTAACAAGTATAATATATTTAGTATAAGTATTTAGTATTTAGATGGTAAAAGATGGTTTGAGTATTTAGATGATAAAATTAAAAATATCAGGCACGGAAATTAGCAAAATAAATAAGCATTTATGTGTGAAAGATAAACAGGTACTCACGAGTATTCTCCAGCCTTGATCACAGCGTCGTCATCACCGTCGGGGGATCCAGCCTGCGAGAAGCTGATGCCGTTGGCAGCCTCGAAGTCGAAGTTGTAAGTTCCATCTTCCTCGTGGACGCGGTCGTCCTTGAGGATTGGCACGAACTCGACTTCCTCGCTGGACGCAGCACGAGGAGCGCCATAGCTGTACTGAGGGGCGGCGACGGCCACGGCGGCCACACAGGCGAGGATCAACTGTCAATAAATTGTGTTTATAAGCTTTTAATTCGGCTAAAAGTTAACATTACAGAATGTTTTGCATAATGTCCAATAATCACCAGACGAGATCTTCCAGCGGTTAAGTGTTATAAAAGCTTCTACTTAACCATTCTACTACCAGAGAAATTAGAAACACTAGTATATTAAGGTCATTTCTGAACTGCACCACAAAGATTTAAGTTCGAACTCTTTTTGTTTCACTTACGAACTTCATGCTGAGTGATTGGACTGGAACTAGTGCAGCGCTTCCAGCTGCCTGCCCTTTTATACCATCAAAGCGTCGGACAAGCTCTAGATGACCTTGGCCGTGACGTTTATTGTAGATGCCTTTCTGCGGCTGGATCTCGAAGAAAGTTTGGAGGACATTTTTTTGCATATATATACACACAAGCATTATATGGGTGTAGCACTATATGTATATGCTTATAAACTGTATACATATTTATATGCACTGAACATGTATAATAAATGCATGTTTAACATATATGTATATATGTGTGTATGTATATATAATTGTATACGTAACATATTATGTATACAATTATATATACATGAACATATACACATATATATGTATATATATGATCATATATATTGAGAGAGAAAGATAGACAGACACAGATACAAACATATGTATATATATATATATTAATTATATGTGTATATGCACATACACCACATACACACCTAAACTCACAGTATAGTATTTCAGATGTTTTTTTTTTTTTTTTTTTCATGAAATGTTATGGATTATTATTAGATTAACATAGATGCAGGACAAACACGTGTGTGTGCGTGTATATATATACAAATACATATATATATATTCATATATATACATGTATACATAGACATGTATGTTTATATAAATACATATGCATATATAGACACTGATATATATATATATATATATATATATATATATATACATATATATGTGTGTGTGTGTGTGTGTGTGTATGTGTGTGCGTGTGTGTTTACAGCATATCTATATATAAATATGTATATACAAATACATATACATCTACCTATCCATATATACATATACATATGTGTGAATGTGCTATATACATACACACATTTATGCACACACACAAATACATACATTTATATATATATACACACACATTTATATATATGAATATACATATTATATATGCATATATACTATATATATATATTCATAAGCATATACACTCTATATATGTATATAGATATAGATAAATAAATATAAATAAATATATGTGTATGTGTGTCTGTGTGCATGTGTGTCTGTGTGCATGTGTGTCTGCATGAGTGTGTGTACATGTGTACATATATATAGAATACTCCAATATATCTATACATATAAAATATAGGAACGTCAGCACACTCACGCACATACACGCAAGGAGAGGGAGGAGAGAGATTGTAATGAATGGGGAAATGAGAAGGGAGAATAGGCGTGTCCGATCCTTTAACCTCTACAGACCAATTGATATGAATTGCTGTTTGTGAAAGAGTAATGTGTAGTTCTGATGTCACGGCTATTTTGCCTTCAAATACAGTAAGAAAAATAGCTGCTAGTGATATTACCATATCGTCGGTTTGGTGTTGTAATCGATTTAAATCAGATCTTAGGTTTAATTTCAACAAACATTTGTTCTGGAAATTTGAACTGTTTAAAGTGTTAAATATATCAAACTACAGTATAATGTGCTATTAAGTCAGAACCTAAACAAATACAGAAATGTGCATATCCTGTTAGAAATATTTTGATTGTGTTGTATTTTCGAGAATAAATGTTAAACTTATTGTCTTTTAAATACATACGCGCGCACACACAAACACATACAGTATATATACACACCCAACTACGCAAACATATTTGTATCTATGTGTCTTTTCACAATACTTATAACAACTTATCGCACATTAGTAAATAAAATATTCAAGGTTTATTACATAAAAATAACGACTCGATTTTGAGCTTATTAACGAAACATAGGTAAGAAGGAAACATTTTTGTATGAAAGATCTTTTAATCAGAGAGACAATAAATACATATTTCGTATCGAATCTAGTTGGGTCGGCCATAAAGTCTGGAAGGAGCGGAAACTTCGTCGGATTCGTCGCTGCGGTTGCGGTCCTCCTCGGCGGCCTTTGCGATCTGGTCGAGGACGAACTGAGGGATTGGGTGGGGGAACTCAGGAGCCACTGGCAGGTGAGCGCCCTGAGGCTGGAAGCCGTTCTCGTCAGCCACGAAGCGGACATGGATTTCAGTGCCATCGGGAGCAGTGTATCTGTAATAAGCATAAAGTTACAAACTTTTTAGATACTAAAATGGAAAACAATATCAAACACGAAAATACTCAAATTCACGGATGAGTTAAGAATTTGAACGAAGGACAAGTACTCACGAGTATTCTCCAGCCTTGACCACAGCGTCCTCATCACCGTCGGGGGATCCAGCCTGCGAGAAGCTGATGCCGTTGGCAGCTTCGAAGTCGAAGTTGTAAGTTCCATCTTCCTCGTGGACGCGGTCGTCCTTGAGGATTGGCACGAACTCGCGCTCCTCACTGGACGCAGCACGAGGAGCGCCATAGCTGTATTGGGGGGCGGCGACGGCCACGGCGGCCACACAGGCGATGATCAGCTGTTAGTGAATGCATATGGATTAAATTTAGTTAAAAGTGAACGTTACTGACTTGTACAAACAATCACCAAAAGAAACTTTCAAACTTAAAATGTTAATTATTCTACCACCAAAAAGATATGAAACAACGAATATCTAATGAAAACTAGTCTTACTAAACCATACTACATAAATTCGAATGCTACTTCTTTTACTTACAAACTTCATGGTGAGTGATTAGGCTG